GGCGGGCGGATGGGCGCGCGAGAAAGAGGCCCGCGCTGGGGCGAGAACGCCATCCTGAACGACGGAGGCAAAACACCGATCCGAAAATGAGGCCCACGCTGCAGCGGGAGCACGATTCGGAACGAGCGGGGCCCGAAAATGAGGCCGGCGCCTCAGCGAGAGCAGCATTTTGGAACAAAATGCAGGCGAAACCCCAACTCTGGGGAAATCTGTGTGTAAAAAAACAGTACGAGGGGGGGGGGGCTACTCCCAAGACGTCATCAGGGGAAGAGGGAGAGTAGTATTCATATTGAGTACTTGTAGAGGGGAGAAGGAGGGAGTGGGATGAGGAGGAGGAGGAGGAGGAGGATGGAGGAGGAGGAGGAGGAGGAGGAAGGAGGAGGAGGAGAACAATGAGGAAAAGGAGAGGGAGGAGGAGGAGGAGGAGGAGGAGGAGGAGGAGGAGGAGGAGGACGGGGGCTGGCATGGGGGGGGAGGAGGAGGAGGAGGAGGAGGAGGAGGAGCAAGGAGGAACGCATAGTACCATGGCGAGAAGGAAAGAGGTCATGGACACGTGGGAGTGAGAAAAGGGAGGGCGAGGAGGAGGAGGAGGAGGAGAAGGAGGAGGAGGAGGATACTGGCGGATTACACAGCCTTGAGGGTGGCTGGCCCCTGTGCGAGTTGGCACCGTAAAGAGCGTTACTTCTCGGTGGTGTCTGATGCCCCTGACTGGGGGGATAAAAGAGGCGGCCACCAACCGAGAGGGGCTCGCGTGCTGCCTCTGTACGAGGGCGCCGAAAAGACGGCCACATTTCGAGAGACACCTGCGACAGGTGGTGAGACCTTTTGGGGGTGGGTTTGCTTGCTCGGGCAAGCAATGGGAATGACATGGTCGTCAATTGGGCGACTGCGCTGGGGTCTCCAGCGAGAGCCTGGGGTGGGAAGGCAGGTGGGATATCGGGTAGCGGGGAGGAATGCGATGATGGAAGACACAAAGGTTGGGGGGTGAGATATTAAATAAGCTCCTCTCCGCCCCATATTAAATTAAGACATAACTTAGTTTGCATGCATTGCACTGTCCGCTGGAACTAACAGCTGCGTTCCGCAGCTGTATGACTGCTCGAACAAGCCAACCTTGGCTTGCAGGAAAAAAAGGAGCGCGCCAGCCCTCGGCCGTCGTGCGTCGTCGGTCGTAGGCCAGCCGGCCTCCTCCCTTCACATTCCTGATAGAGTAGTCTTGCTTAGCGGATGCCTGTCTTATCAATGTCTCATCCCGTCTCCTCTCTCCCTGAGCAGAGTGAACATGAGATCTTAATTCCTTTGTCATCTTACCCCGATTTTCAGAGGAAAGACTGGTTATCAACCGAAACGCGCGACTTAGTCGACGCGGGGCCGTCACAGCCAAAAGAAGAACTTTCAAATGTGCCCCGCGACTCAGTCGCTGCGGGAATAAGCTATGATAAGACTGACATCGTGTCCAATATCTCGAGAAACGCCGACGGGCGCGTTGTACAACATGATGGACACGACACAAACAAGGATGGTCTAATTCAGGACCGAGCCCCTCCTTCATACATGGCCACTCGGTAGCAAGGGGCAGAAGTACCGAGGGAGTATCAGAGATGTCGGTAGACGTCTCTCCCGCGGGAGCTCCGATCGGTGATCGCGAGCAAACCCCAGACCCGTACGGGCGAGATGGCGTAACATCAAGACCTAGACGAAGTGCGTTTTCGCCATGGAGTGCCATTCGCCATGGTCGCACAGGGGCGCTTGTTCTTGCAGTTGCAGGCCACAGCTGCCAGGACTTCAGCATCAGAGGAGCTCGCGAGGGAATCGGCGGCGCGCGCATGCGGGATTTCCCGTGGTTCAGGCATGAGGTGAGAGACCTGGACCCCGACCTCGCGATCCGAAGGGTCACCGATGGGGCCCCAGAGTCGCTCCGCATCGATTTGATCAAGCACCTGGTGATGGACGGGATCACGCGCAATCCATGCGCGGAAGAACTGTCGGTGCCAATGCGCCGACCGTGTCGCTGCACATTCGGTTGGCGCAAGGCCCTCTTCGATTTCTATGGTTCTTTCAGCGATTACAGAGGTCGTTTAAAAAGCAAGCAGTGGGTTTTACAGCCGACAGCTTTCTTCACGGATGACGACGCCACCCGCTAAGACTACGCCCGCTCCCTGCTGTCCATGGAGGCGTGTATTTCGGCGACAGTTGCATCAACATCAACATCAACGACAACCGTAGCCCATTCATGAGAGAGCATCCAATCGCTACATGACTGTGAGGGATGCGTTTTGCGGGCTTGACGGCTGGCTCACGGCTGATCTCCTTCAGGACATGAAATACGCGCCACCGGGGCCAGTGATGCCAACGATCACGACCCACAACGCGTGAATGGTGACGATCACGGAAGATGGCGTGATCAGTCTTGTCATTGCGAAG